ACATATCATTTGTATCAGCTGGTGAATGTTTATATATGTAGTTAAATAAATAAATAAACAAATAAATAAATAATAATGGCAGCAACTAACTAATCATTTAGTCTACTTTTTACGAAATATAACCAACAGTCTTACTCGCAAGCAGTGATCCTAATTTTTTTAGTCCTAAATAAATAAAATAAAAGCAATAATGAAACAAAAAAAAAAGTGGAATGGTGGTAGCATATCGCGTAACTGCCTGCCTAGCCGTGCTTATTCGTAAACCAATATGTCCGATTAATGTCTACTTGAGCTTTTTTAAAATATTTTTACTGCGAAGGGGAAAGAATTGTAACAGTTTAAAAATAGAATTTTTGCCATTTTCTTTGGAATGAAAGTAAACACAGTGGAATAATACTATTCCACAAAGTTATGCAGCATAGGTACATGATGCTTAAGTAAAACTAAACTTTTTTGAAGATCTATTTTTGACTTAAGAAGTCTTGCGAATTTCAATTAAAAGGTAGCGCTTAGCACGATATTTTAGGGATATTGTTTTTTGTGTCAGTCATTAATTAATAAATAAGGGTTAAATCGATTTATCGAAAAACTTGCCCGTGTTTCGCGGAAGATTATTATATAAAATTTGGATAACTCTTTCTTTTATAGTTTACATTGTTGTTTTAAGGGGTATATTGGTTTTGTTCTTTTTTAATGATTTTCTACAGCAACATTATTACTATGTTTTATAATTAAATATTAATTGTGCCCGTTAAGTAATATTATCTTTAATATTTATATACCTTAAAAAGCATTCATTTTTTGCTTTTGGATTTACTTTTGCCTAACTTAAATTTACTTGCAAATAGCGGCGGTATTGCTTGCTTTGTTTTTGTGATTTCTTTTAAACAAATGCGCTAAGCATACGATATACAGATTGCATAAAAGAAATCAAATATAAAAAAAGAAAATTTGAATAAACGATCCATAATAAAAAAAGGTTAAATTAATACAAAAAAAATTAAGAAAGACAAAGGTAGAAAATTTAATAAAATTTTCATCAAATAGTAAAAGATCAAGTAGATAATTGAGAAGGTTAGAAAACGTTACCTTTTTAAGGGTTGCAACTTGGAGTTTTAACTTAACTATAGTTTTATTTAAAATGCTTGCAATTGAATTTCTTTTAAATTGTTTAAAATTATTTTCTTTAGTTTCCAGAAAGCTTAACCAGTTTTTAAAATCGGGATAAGGAGTAATGTGTAAGGGCTTGGTTGGTGGATATCAGAGCTTTGATAAACCCGTAAGAGAAATGAACAACTTGGAAGGCTAAGCCGCAAGCATGATGTCACGATAAATCGGAAGTCTACAAAACGAACTGTTCCTTAATCAAGACCAAATCATATCAATGAAAAGAAAGTGTTGCAGAAATGTTTCTTATTTTTTTTTTATCAATTTTTATCATTAGAAGGCTATTTCAGGGTTATATAACTGATCCAACAGCACCCAAGGTTTTATGTTAGAGTTTCACGTCTTCGGTGCGCGTGTCAAGAAAAGATTCGCACTTGTTATACGTTGCTTGTTGCGAGATGACGGCATTGATATGCATAACTCTGTTACAGAATACAAAACGTTAAAATCTTCGCGGCCGATCTTTACTGTTTTGGTTAAACCTTCTCGAATAGCTTCTAGCTTCGTAGCTAGTCAACGATCATCTCGACGAAACCATGCTTATTTTCTTTCGGAAATGCCTTTGATTCAGCACAGTCACTCTCTAGAGATATCTGTTGGGTGACGTATTAAAAAAAAGTGTGTTTTTTCCAAATTGTAAACGATTTGAATCATTCTTTAAGTACGAAAAGTTTGATTTTCCGAAAATTTTTGCAGCAATTTCTTCGCTTAAACATTTTCGACAGCCAAACAAATTTTCAGATTTAATCGATACAACGAATCTCCTATGCGTAGGCGGAAGAACAGTGGTTTGTCATAGCTCAACTGGTATCAGAAAAAAGGAAACTAACTGAAAAAATAAACGAAAACGTAGCAAAAGGAAATCTGTGGAAGTAGGTCGATTATTATAAGTATACACGTCTGTTACAGGTCGATGTCCACTTACTGTCCGTTTTCTGTAATATATCTGCCCATAAAAGTGTATGTATGTCCGCTTGCTAGTTTTACAGTCCGTCCTTTCGTCGTGCGCATATCTGTCGGCCGCTTCCGTATCCCACCACTGCTCAATCGATATTTCACACCGCAAGTTTTATATATGCGCACAAGATCTTATACTTAATTAAATCTCTCATATATGTGAAGTTCGCATGCATATCTACATTCCTGCTCGTGATACAACTGCCATCGTGGGATTAAGTAAGCCCTGCCTTCTTGCTTTGTCGAAACTTTGTGGTACTACTTACTTTTCTGTGGGCATGTGTGTGTTCTAACGCTTATAAATGTTTTCGTAAGATTACATTAAGCTGTCCCCACAAACACACGGGCACACAAGCTCGAGTACGGCAGTAAGAGCAGACAACGAATACGTATGGCTGTTGAACTTGCTAATTTTAAGATTAGATCTTTACGCCTTAGTTACTAATTTTTAAAAATAAAAAACATGAAATTTATTATGTCTTCAATTAATTTCGTAGTTGCATTAAATTTTTTTGCAAAATGAAATTTCATGCGCAAAAACATTTAGGATTTTGCAAAATATTTGATGAGCCCGCTTAGTGCGGAAAGAAATGTTTACAACTAGTTGTAAACAGTCCAAAGAAGGGCAAAAAGGAAATTGAAAATAAAGATCGACCCTGACGACCATCAACCTCTAGCGACGTAAGTCACGTCATACAATTTCAATTATCCGGTGCTCAAAAACCGTCGAGTAACTATTAGACACCTTGTTGGCGTCAGTCAAAAATTTTTTGAAAGATATTTTGAGCCTAGAACGCGCTAAATCTCGATTGGTACCAAAAATAATCAATTAGTTTGAAGAAGACCGTCGCGCTAAAATTTTGCAGGAAATGACATCCAAATACCAATAGGCCATGAAACGCTTTATTACGGGAGGTGAGTGTTTAGTCTGCACATACGATTTGAAAACAATCAACCAATCGAGCAAATATCGTGCAAAAGATGGGCCAAGGCCGAAAAAACATTGCAAAGGTCATTGCAAGCGTAGGCGTAGTATTTTCGGCAGGGAAGATAAAAAGCAGACATTTGTAAGTAGATCACAAGACTAGAAAACACTGAGTGCTGCTGTCGACGTCTTTAATTTATCTTTAAACGACACGAAAACATACACAAAATATTGTAACATATGTATATTTGAAGAATGCAAGAATATTAAGAGAACTACACCAATATTGTTGGATACTTTATTTGAATTCACAATTTGCCGTTCTTACGAAATTGTTGAAAAATAAATACTTATCTGTATTGGAGACTTTCATCTTACTTAAGGCACAAAACTTGAACTGAACATAAGAGCAAAGGATATCGCGGTCTAAAAAAATTAAATTAGTGCTAGCAAACCACTTCTTTTTGTTCAGGTGAACTTAAAGCGTAACCAATTGCGTAATATACTTAAATTGTTATTATCAATACGGCTGACCAATATTTTTCTATTTAAAAAATATAATAATGTAATATCTCATGCATTTATTCAATATAAAGTGAAATCTTACAAGTCAGTTTCGTCACAACTCTCAATCACATACAATTATATCCATATCATGTTGTATTATTGTATAAGAAACTGCCAATGAAATGTTTTCTTTCGTATCGTAGTCATCAGCATGAAACGTGAACGTTATATAAGAAATCATAAAGAGCCGCTTCACTTCATTGAGTAAATAACGGTTCTAGAAAGTCATTACGAGTGTTTTCTCATACTCTCCGGTAAAGAAACTATTCCTTCAAATATCTACATAAATACAGAAGTAGAAAAGGCAGCAGAAATCAAGCAAATACTGGATTTGGTAAGTAATGCGTTCTTGGTATTGTATTCAATATTTATATCCACGTCACAACCGCCAAGGCAGGCTTAAACTTTGATACGTATAATAAGGTAGGAAGAAAGAAAAAGTATTTGTCTTTTTCTTCGAAAGACAAGCTAAATGGAATGGAATGGGTTGTTGGAGCACTTTATATATTATTCACGCAAGAATATTCCGCACAATTTATATCGAGATTTAAAGGACGTCACACAGCTTAACCGGCGACAACACAACCACCAGCATCGTACATATGTAAATATAAATAACATTGTTCGGTCCTTAACACTTTCGAACCCAAGTAACAAGAGGAACTCAAGCAAACTACATATATAAGCAGCTTGGTAACAATTATTGTTGCTATTGCCGACGTAACGCAGCTACAGCCGCATCAAACAACTGAGATCTTGTGAACATGTGACAACATTCAACATGTTCAAGAATGTGCGACGCTGCTGCTGTCATGCTGTACAAGTGTCTGTTTATTTCCATGTCTTTTTCATGAGAATGATTGTTATCAGCAACGAATTCTGTGCTCTAAGTCGTTGTTCTTGCTATTATTGCTATTTTTGCTGTTGTTGTTATGTTTGTTTGCTGAAAAATTCAAAAGAAAACGCTACACAATAGCACTTCCTTTTCTTACATACGTAATAGATACCTTTGTAAAGATGTGTAGTAATGAGAAACAACAAGTCGACTTTTTTTTGGTTTCTTGCATTCATTTCTTTTGCTGGTAGCCCTGTTTGCTTATATCACAGAAAGCTTGGCAATGCATTGACATTAGCAATATAGTGATGACATGACAATTTAAAAGAAGTGTGGAAAATGCGAGAACAAAAACAAGTTTCCTTTTTTCTTCAAGCGGAAATTGAAAAAGTGTCTCGCACTCTCTATCGCATAGAATTATTTACATTACACGGTACCTATCTTTCTTTTCTGTGATTTTCTATTACTTTTTACTGCTGCTGCAGCTGCTACTGCTGCGGCCAAAGGTAAAGGCTTGTTTGTTTTGTTATTCACACTTTGCATACTTACACATAACTTTAAGTTCAACCACATTACTGTCACCGTCGCCTTCGACATTGGAGGCGGTACAAGTGTAATTGCCCGCCTGATGTCGTGTAACACCTTGCATTGCAAGATCGCCGCTGCTAACAATAACACCGGCTCGTTGATTATGTTGTATAATTTGATGCTGTAATGATAACAAATTAAATTGAAATAAATTAATTGAATTTCCTCGACATGTACTAAATACATTATCATAAACAACAATGATAATGAAGCGGTAATAATGGATACTGATGTAAATCACGTACGGGTTTTCAAGGCTGCTGAACTAATTTTCATTTTCATACGTTTAGTCAATAAACACGTAGCAAGTAACGATTCATAAGTTCATTAAAATTAATTCGAAAAATTAAAGAAATTTTTCTTCAAATTTTCATTAACGTAACGACATGAAGACTCTTAAGCGAATAGTGAAAATTCATTGTTCTCATAACATGTATTAATATATTATAACGGATGGATTTGGACTCGTCGATGAAGGAAATTTTCCATTTTATCCGCAAATGTTTTTTTTAACCCTAAAACAAAGTCGGATCCTCAGACAGACCTTCAATCGCATAGAGAGAGAAAGAAATGTTTATTTTTATTTTTAACATTTTTCAAAAACATATTTAAAAAAAATTTCTTAGAAATTTTCTTGAGCGTTATTAAAAGACTTACGAATACGTTCAGCTAGTACGTAACGCCACGCACTAAATCACGCATGCGGGCATCTACTGAACTGTTTATTAGCGAATCAAGTGTAATATCTTGACACATAAGACATTCGATAGCTGTCAAACGTACGTGCGTCAAAAACAAAGCCAAATTAATTTCTTATATTTAGTCAAACAAGGTGAAGAGACTATTAAGCGACTATTCTCTCCAAGGTACTATAGAAATATACACGATCCCCTTCGTAAAATTATTCCGCGGCGTTGTTATCCATTTCATAAGGGTATTTTGCTAAAACATTCATACCGAAAGAAACAAGAACGATCCAGTCGGGTGCCGAGCACGTAAAAGCAACTATAGATATAAAAGCGAAAATGCCCACCACTGTAGACACCGGTTCCAGTAGAGCCTTTTCTTTGTTGTTGATGACGGTGGGATAAACTACTTAAATTTACAGAACCATTTAGTATAGAACCGCAACCATCCTTCAAGGGTTTTGCCTTGGGCTGCCACATCTTATTTCATCTCAATATCATCGCATCTTCTTTTTAAGTTGCTTAGGCGTAATGTGCTTTCCAGCATTCGAGTGCAAGCGAATAATTCCCGTGCTGGTTTGAGAGCAGCACGTTCACACGGTGTCATCGATAAACATGCACGGACTTTAGATTCATTTTCTGTTGTAACAGCACAACCTTCATTATAGCATTTCTGGAAGAGATTTACAGATTCTTTGCCTTGGAAATTGCAACTTGCCCGATTCACTTTACGATCATTAATTGTGAACTGACTCCTGCACAATTATTTAATTCCCTATCACATCATAAAAATTCTCAATGGTGAGCGTTGAATCGTCTATAAGCATCGATCCTTATAGACGACAGAATTAGCGGAGACAAAAAACAGTCCAAGGTTAACATAAAGTTGAAAGGGTGCGTGTTCTTCCTAAATGCAAACTTTCTATCTAGAGATTATTCTGAAATGTGTGACCCTCCCATTAATTGTTAAGCGTTCTTTTATCCAAGATAAATGTATGGCTTATGCCGTCAGAACTCCAACTTTTACAGTTACTCCCCATTGGCTAAGTGAGAAATTGCTCTTCAAAGTTATAAAAGAGCTTAACTGTGTTTCAATTATATTTTGCAGTTCTAAGCATTCGCTTCAGAATAAAGAAAACTTAAAGAGACTTAAATTTAAATAATGTTCCAAAGAAACTTTTTCTATTCCCCATGGAAATCATCTAAAATAGGCCTTGACCCTGAATGTCCGAATACTATCTATGCAATGAAATTATACCCTGAGGCCCTTTAATGTTTGCCATTTGTTCGAAATTTTTCCACTTCATACATAAAAGCATTACAATATTTCAAAGGATTGAATTATTTTATTTGTAGGGGTAAAAGTATGGAAAAATTTCTAACAATAAAATGAATTTACAACTAAGAGACAAAAGAATCTAAGTCTTGGTTTTCTTTCTGATTTTTCAGCTCGTTTACTGATCTGCTTCCTACTTTGATCAACTGTGATGCAACAGAAAGCTCTTCAGATTTCGTTTTTTTTTCTTTTTTTATTAATTAAACGAGTTTAAGTTATTTTAAATACGAGTAAATTTTTTATAGACGTGAAGCTGTTAGGAAAGAAATGAAATTTTAAATATCTGTAGTTATGTTATTATGACTTTTAACCGTGTAAATATTAAACCTTGCACTTTTTAATGATTTGCCATATGCAAGAGAGCGTAACTTTGCATAAAGCTAATTAGAATAAACTCTACGTGATTACAATTAGTGGGTATTATAAGAAATATAACTCGCTCAAAGGTAAATGTTGACATAAAACGCCCATGAGAAAGTGTTAGTCTTTATTTTTGACTTTTTGATTTGAATGATGCCACGCTTACTGAAATTAACTGGTTGTAGTGTATGGTCGTGGACCGTAGCCACACGTAATGAATTCAAAATATATGATCCTTAGGCATTTTGAGAAAATATTTACAAATTTGTTTATTAATGTGTTCGTATATTCACAAATTTAAATTATATTAAAACATATTGACTTACTTTCAAGACAATCAATATTTTTATTTAGTTATTTTAATGTTATTATATTTCTCTTTGTTTCTTACATTACGAAAACACCTCAGGCAGTTAAACCAATTAATTTAACGATAATTAAGTTAAGCAAACAATTCCCTCACTTATCTACATTTACTATTATTATGTTTGTATTCAAAGAAAACGTACCCGTCAACCAAGTAATGACAATAATAACCATGAAAAAAATAACGGCAGCAAACAAAAAAAAAGGAAAAAAGCAAATGACAAGAAGCAACACTGCAATTATAAAGACATACTTGAAGCCCATAAGACTAATAAAACAAAAAATAGGAAAGCTTTGTTTTGTGACGGATGCTGGATTCATGTTCTCTAAACCAAATACATACATAAAGTTTTAGTTTTCATGGGACGTTGAATAAGGCGATCGGAATAATTCTTTCACCGATGTCCTTCGGTGGTTCTGATGTATGTCTCTTTGTACGGAGTTCATCATTTAAGATTTTAATTTCTCAGTCGTCACTATTATCATATACTGCTATGTATGAATTAATTAAATTTTTCTCGCGTATTACGACCAGTGGCTTCTACGCACTCTAATACTTATGCCAAATCTTACAGCTAAAGATCTTTAATGTAAGTTGGAAGCTATTAATAATGACATCTGCAGTTAGCCTAGATATCAGATAGGCAGATCATTGCCATACATAATTATAATATATTGACCTAAACTAAGGTACTACCACTATCACACGTTCCATCTTTATGTCTGCTTAATTTGACTCTTTGGATGTTTCGGCAGCACTTAACGAAGACACATGGAAAAATGTACACTAAACGTGTACTGAGGTTTTCTTTAAATTGGATTTTCAATGTGGTTTAAGACTAGTGTTTTCGCAAAAAGTGCGTAACGGTGTCTTTTGCAATCTTGTTGAAGGTTAGAGGAAGTCAGTTGTATTCATATGATCTAAATATGAACGATAAGTGCACATTTCTAAACGCGCCACGCCTATTTAAGTTGTGAAGAGAAATTAAGGTAAGAGTATAATTATTTTAAGAAGATAATTCATCAGTAATCTTGCAAAAGTTGAATGAACGTTGGTCGAATGAACCACATATCATACCGCATTCCGCGGTCTATTCTTTAGGGTGTAATTGTATTTTAGGTTTTTGGTCTGTTTAGTCGCCATGATGAGATTTTTTGTTAAGAGTTAAGAAAGAACTTCCCGTAAGAATGAATAGTTCACAAAATTTATTGAATCGTAGCCTATTCAACTTTTAAATGATAAACTCTTACAAGTCTGTTCCTCAAAACCATCTAAAATCATTCGGATTTTAAACAAAATTTCTGCCTGTAACAAGTGGAATGACAACATTGGCAGGCCATCGTTATTCGATGGTAGAGAGAAGCAAGGGTGACGACACGTTTGTTTCTTTATATGAACGCAAGTACACACAAGCACACCGAAGCAAATCCAATTGAAATTGTAGAAAGAGGAAAACTGTGAAAGCATATAATAACAGAATATACAAATAAGCAAAGCCGGAAAGAACAAGTTTAGCTGATAGTTAAACTGCACAAATAGTTAAAACACAATTAAACTTAAGCCATTTTCAATACAAAAGAAATCGAGCGAAAAAGTAAAAAAGGAAACTAAACAACAACATGACAGAATGGTATCGCATTTAAAGGTTGTGACAATGTTTGCTTCGAATGGAAGCAAATGAGACGGAAAATGCAGACTTGCCTTGAACTTTTTTCTCAACGCACTAGAATGCTGTTCTAAAACATTTGAAACAGTGGCAATATGTAGAATATATGAAAACCATTTGCAGTTTATTTTTCTTTCGTTCTGTGACTCGCAGGAATGAAAAGTTTTTAAATTCAAAATTTCAATGTAGAGGTCTATTCGTTTCATTACACTACTTGTTACAATCGCGTGTATGTAAAATCAAATAGAATACGTCTTTCTTAATAGTGTCGTATTCGGTGCTGATTTAACATCATCGCTATTACTCTCTCCCGCTCTCTCTCTCTCTCTCTCTCTACTTGTTTTCTGACGCTCTTTTACGCTTCGCAGACCTTAAGAGAGAAAGCTAAACCTCGCCATATAAGTTAGAAATAGTTTTACTAAGCCAATCGGTTAAAAGTGAAAGCAAACCCACTTTACAACATCACAAGCTTAAAAAACGCATGCTAAAGTTTTTTCCATGAGGTTAGCAGTTTTAGTAGCCATTGATAAGATAGAACTATTCATTGAGTCCTCATAGAATCTCTTTGGTTATGAGTAGACTTTAGTAACCTTCATCGCAGGTAGTGTGCAATCCAAATTCTCCCCGAGGTTTATATATCCACTTGTTTCTTACTTGTTATTTTTTTTAATATAATGTTCTCAGTTCGTTTGCACTTAACATTGGC